ATTCCACGGCACAACATTAAAACTTGTACTGGAACATATATTCATCACTTATTTGCTGTTTTGAAAAGTGGATTATTAATTTCAGACTATAATATCTTATGTTATATTCCTTCGGTTCTGTGAGTGACAAGTTCTCCAAGCCCTCTTTCCTCATTATGTATCCCAGAGATTTCAAGGAAAAATGTCTATTTTTTTTCTAATTTTCCTTAAAACTTCTTCGTTGCTCACATAATTCGTCCACATCCTTCTGTAGAACTACATTTTTGCCGCTTCAAGTGTTTTCTTCATGTGTGAAGAGATTGTCCAGCATTCACTACTATATAGGAGGACTGATATTAAGTAACAGTCTTTCTTTGACACTAATGAAATTTTCCTGTTTTTTAATACTTTATTTAGATTTTAGAAAGCATCTTTTGCTAACCCTTTTCATTTTAATAAAAATTATTATTTTATACTAACCGTTAGATTTTGGAAAACATATTTTGCTAAGCCATAGGGCATTTTTTGGTTTTCGGTGTTACATTTTCCATCCAATGTTAAAACACTTCCTAAATATTTAAATTTTCGGACTTGTTTGTTTTGTTTTTTGTTTCTTTGTTCCTCTTTCTGACAAACAAATATTCTATCTTCATCCAATTGCCATTTAGTCCTTTCTTCCTACTTTCATTTACTACCTTGTCTAGGAGTTTTCTTTCTATGTTTACCATCAACACAGTTTCATCTGTGTATCTTATGTTGTTAAGATTGTGGCCACCGATAATAAATCCTGATAGGACTTCTAGTTCTCTTCGGATTGCTTCGTTGTAAACGTTAAATAAATCTGGCGAGAAGATGCAGCCTTGTCTTACGCCCCCTTTCTATTTTTGTATACTTAATGCGATTCATTATCTATGCATATACAAGTGGTTTGCTCCCAGTATAAGTTCCGGATTATTCTTAATTTTAAAAAATATCCTCGATTTTTAATGCTTTCACAAAAGATCCTATTTTATGTGAATTTCTGGAATGGGGAAATATTATTTATATTCGGACTAATGTTTTCATCTTTGTTGTTATAATCACAATGTTTCGGCCGTTGTACCTTTCAGCCTTCTTCCGGTATATGTTGATCCAGGTAATCTTCAAGGAATTTCGTATTGAATATTTTTTTAATCTACTTGAGTAGGTTGTTCTCCTGCTTTCCATATCTATTGATATCTCATCTTGTTCTTAATCTCATTTTAATCTGATATCTCATGTTCTTAATCTCATCTTAATCTGATATCTTGTTCCTAATCTCATCTTAGTTTGATATCTCATCTTGTTCTTAATCTCATCTTAATCTGATATCCTAATCTCATCTTAATCTGATATCTTGTTTTTAATCTCATCTTAATCTGATATCTTGTTCTTAATCTCATTTTAATCTGATATCTCATCTTGTTCTTATTGAGTACTGCTAAGTTATTGCTCGCCTTCTTTTCCACTGAGTCTATACGTGTACTACCCGGCCCAGGGATTGAACCCACAATTTCTATTTCACGAATCGGCGCTTTAATTCATTAGTCCTTCAATATTTCAATATTACTCCAACTATCAATGATCTCATCGTGTCCTCCTATTAATTATTTCATGTGTATCATGAAACTTTGCACAGAATAATCAAAATCACTCTCACATATTTTTATTTTTGACAAAATTTTTATCATTTCATCCTTCGTTACTTTTTTCCACTTAAAACGCATCCCATTAATTGGTTTGTTTATGTTTTCCCCATTAAATTATACTTCAAGTTTTTTTCTGAAATTGCATATTTTGTAGTTCTCTGTCACTTCAATCTAATTCCAGAAGAGAACATGGCACATTCCTTTTTACTTCATACGTGATCTGCTATGCATGATTCTATAGTCTCAGCTCAGATTATGACTTTTCGATACGCCGAGAGTTTCTTCTTCAAAGATTGATTAAAATATCTTTGTACAAGTGTACAAGTTTAAAGCGTAGCTATGGAGGCTTCCCACACCAACTATAATAATGGACTCTCTCTATGAGACGAAGATTACCGTATTTGGCGTCATATAAGGCGCACTATTTTTTTACTAAAAATATCTTTTAAAATTTTCCTGTGTCTTATATGCCATATATAGGTTTAAAATTCGCGTTAGCTGGTTGAAATTAGCTACATGGTAACTCCTATTAGCTTAGACTTTAGAGTAACTTTTATGTACCTATTTTCATTATTTAAAAGGCTCTTATGCAGATTAAAAGTGTTCATTATATTAATTTCACCACGTTTAATATTAGTACATTGTTTCACTAGAATTATATGCTATAAATTCAAATTATATATTTGTAAAATATATTTGTTTCATTAAATTTGTTTTCAAATACAATCAGAATTTTTATATCTTAATTATTCCAATAAGACGTTTACAAGATGCAGTTTGTACAGATCCTATAAAGGATATATATATATATATATATATATATATATATATATATATATATATATATATATATATATATAAAAGGATATCTTAATTATTCCAATAAGACGTTTACAAGATGCAGTTTGTACAGATCCTATAAAGGATATAATAAAGTTTTTATAGGCTCCAGTTCTTTTTTCCTATTATTTTTCGTTTAATTGGAATCATGGCTTGTTTAACCAAAATAATACCTCATAATATAGCCGAGACTGTACCATTTACTAATTATTTTACTAATTTTACTAATTACTAATTTTTCTTGATTTGCCCTGCTAAAATTGGGGTGCGTCTTATACATCCATGCATCTTATATGCCGTCAAATACCGTAGTCTATGCATTAGTGTTTTTATTACATAACGTGGGGATTTTGCAGAATCGCAGAAAAATATGAGTATGCAGTAAATGGAATGATACTAAAAGTTAGAAAATAAATAAATAAAAGTCAATGAAGATAGATAATTTCCGTTCAGCATATCAACATCTATGGATCATTTAAAACCGAAATCTAAATGATTTCAACAGAATTTGTTTGACTTCAACTTCAACCTTCAGCATCTTGACTCAGTGTTTCGTAGACTATATTGTGAATGCAATTGTATGCCTTCAACTAAATATATTGTATTGCCGGTCTTTTGGGTTTTTTTTTTTTTTATAAACATGTTTTGCTGGTATATTTACTATTGAAAAGTATTTTTATACTTCCATAGTGCTTTTGATGGGGAGGGATTTACTATTTTCCCATAGCTGTGACCCTAACAGGTGCTACCATCCTGGATCATGTTGAACCTGGGAACAACAGCAATTAAGAGGTCGTTCAAGGCTCCTCAAAACCTCCAATCTTCGGATCAGAGGCTTTGTTGCTAGATGTAGTTTATGTTGATACCCGGGACGACTCGACGGTAAAATACATCCATCTACAACCAAAACAAACAACGACCCCAATATATATATATATATATATATATATATATATATATATATATATTTTATATATATATATATATATATATATATATATATATATATATATATATATATATATATATATATATATATATATATATATAAAAATTTCTCTCTCTATATATATATATAATGTAAATCTATCTATCAATATATATATATATATATATATATATATATATATATATATATATATATATATATGTAAATCGATATATATACTTTAAATCTGTCTGTCTGTCTGTCTCTCCCTCCCCCCTCTCTCTCTCTCTATATATATATATATATATATATATATATATATATACATCATCGAAGAATTCGGTAATAAATTTATTTCGACAGATAAGTTTTTAATATTTGTCTCAGACCGAAATTATAAAATGGTTTAAATTTATCCAGACAATATGTTACATCACAAGAAAACTGGACGTAAATGTCTAAACTTCTCTAAAAAAATATTTTACATTATAGAAAAATATATTGTCTACATAAATTTGAACCATTTTGTAATTTTGATCTAATGAAGCAGACATTAAAAACTTATTTGTCAAAATAAATTTATTACCGAATTCAACGATAATGTGTTTTTTTTTCCTTTGATGTATATTATATTGTTCTGTTTATAAATACATTGTGCTCTCTTCATGGAACTATCTTTTTAATATTTTATATTAAAAACCCCTACTTGGATTATCCTTACCACTTACGGATTTGATATTATTATTATCATGATATATATATATATATATATATATATATATATATATATATATATATATATATATATATATATATATATATATAATTAATACAAGTAAAAGGTTTGCCACGCAGCTGATTTATGTTACCTTCAGCATCTTGACTTAGTGTTTCGTAGAAGGACCTTTCGGAAGTCGCTCCGTCTGCTCGTCAGGAGGTATCAGCAATTGACTGCTTGTGCTTCTCGATTTTTGTTTTTTATATACACTTTTCATTGGTGCAAGTTTTTTGTTCATAGCGTATGTATGCGGGCATGCGCGTGTGCCTATATGAATGGGCAACTGGGTGGTGAGAACGATAGCGTTCTGGCCATGAGATGTCGATTTGAATCTCATCTTATCATTTGTCGAGGGATGACTTCTTGATAATAACCTTCTGCGGCAATTAACCCGACGAGAAAAATAAGCATTGTCACTAAAACTGGGAGAACGAAACTATTCGGGAGGTGTTGATGTTTGTGCTAGCACGACGTCAAAAGTCATCGTGGTTGAGGGTTTGAGTGTACTGGCCAGGTTCAAACTGTTGATCATGCGCGATTATGCGCTTTCTCCACACAAACTAAACGAACATAGTTGCCGCATAAGCTACAAATCGGTCCTGTAGTTGTTGAGCCACGCTGGTGGTGGTTGTATTTTTTCCTTGCTGACTTTCAATCTCAAAAGCTAGAATTTTAGTGTAAGCAAAGCCACTCCAACCTGGAAAATTGTAGCATCACAATCTTCCTTCATATGTGTTGGCAATTAAATATCTCAATTATCTCCGTTTTTTTCTTTGAATTTTCTATCGCTTTCTCGTTCTTCCCGGCTTACGGTCACATTTCGTTGAAACACCGGTTCCTGTACGATCACCAAAGTTAAGCAACGTCGAGCATGGACAGTGCCTACATGGGTGACCGCTTCGGAATACCAGGTGCTGTAACCTTGGATGTTCGGGTGATACAATGGATAATGTTTCGAAATTGTTAATCGGAGAGCCGAGTTCCAATTCCTGTTGGGTTCGTTATACGCGCAAATACCCTTGACAAAAGTATGAATCCACCTCTTCTCCCCCTCAGCTATGGGTTAATTAGTAAGACCTCTATTGCTAAAACTATTATTATCTAAAAAACAATAAAATAAAATAAATCTGCGTTCAAAATATTTAAATTTCAGTACTAAATAAATGGTGCTAGACAAAAACAACCAAACCTCTTTCCAATTTATTTCTACTTCTCTTTTTTCTTTTTCTCCTCTTTTTTTCTTTTCCTCCTCTTTCTTGTAACTGTTGTTTCTTCAAGTCTCGGATGTTTTTTCTCCCTATTATTCTCTCACTTCTTACTCTTCCCTTTTTTCTCTCTTTGTCTATTTCCCCCTTTTCTCCTTTCTCGAATTTTCTTAGCTTCTTTCTATTTTTCGTTCGTTTTTGTCATTTTTTTTTAAAACTTGGTACCGTATTGGTTAGACTCCATATTGAAAGCATGCATACTGCAATAATTCATTGAATGAAGTTCGCACATCCGATTGGTCAATTGGACACATCATGTGACATAGCTTCCTTTTCGTAGCTCGTGTTATAATTTCTTTTTTTTTTTCTTTTTTAACAAACAGGATATTCCATCCTCAATTCTGGGACGGAAGTTCGTTAAGTGTGATGTCAATGGGGTCGAACCTACAAGATGTCTGTATGGGCGAACTCTTCTTTATGTGGTTGTAGCCTTATGGTTATGATATTCAATCACGACGCGACGCACGTAATATTTTTCTTTTTCACGTATAACTCCTTATAAAAAATGACTAAACGAGATCAAGATTTGAAAAGATAAATTTTATAGTTAAGTTTTCCTTGAATTGCGAGAATAGGGATTTTCTAAGCATAGCTCCGATGTGGCACAAGGCCGAAAGTATGGGACACATAGTGAGGATCGAACTCACAATTCAATCGTAATTGTTCTAGCGAGATATGCTTATTAACCGTTACACACATAGAATTGCGAGGATGAAGACTCTTTAGAAAAGAGTTTTAACCTGATAGAGCGACGCGGCACGCCATTGCTCAAAGAGAAGTTTGAACGGAATAAACTGTACAAGTATCATTTTGGAAAATCCGCAAGCCCAACAAAAGAAGAAAAGGTGATGAAAATTTACCATGGAACACGAAAAAAGATCTTTGCAGCAAGCGGCTCGTGTAATTGATTTTTTTCTTTACAATGATGTTCACCCTCTATAAGGTCCAAGAGACACTCGTGGTAGAGGGTTACAAAATAAGAGGCACAGTTCATGCGGATATGTGGGGAAGATAACGGTTAACCGTAGACATGAACAGGTTAAAATTATAGTGATCACAGAAGCATTATCTTGAAAATCAGTTCCACAAAGCAGCCGTTCGTGGGAATAAACTGCTCGGGTGGAACTTACATCTCCTCAATGGAGTACGAAGAGAATGAGTGTGGTTAGCTGCAATAGGCGTGGAATGGTGGCTCCTAGCCGCGAAGGCTAGGACAAGTGAAACTAAAGAATGTAGTCCGTCTGGACACTTTCCATGGAAATGGCGATAAAGCAGCGAGCGGCGTGCGTCGTTTCATCCGTGAAAAAAGGGTTGCACGGTGGAAAATCATTAATCACCCACAAGGACGTAGGGACGCTTTCGGATTCTATCGAGATTGGAAAGTGAAGACTGGGCAGCTTCTGCTTATGTATGGCAGCAGTATTCCATTTTCGGCCTGATTTAGCTCTTGTAAACGTAGAGAAAAGAATCAGGTACTTATTGGGCACTGACCATTTTTCCCAGCATCTTTAGCGATGGGTCGGAGGTACGAGTTCCACTTGAGGTCTGGGCTGAATTTTTGTAAAAATGAAACAAAAAGCGTCCTTCATATTTTGAAAAAACATGACCACTGGAAAAGTTTTACATTGGTTCAAGTTTTTACGACCTCAACTGATGATTTAAATGTCGTGGGGAGGCACGTTGGAGTAATGGATAGCGTCTCGGATTGAGGAATCGGAGAGCCGAGTTCGAATTCCATTGGATATTAGCATGTAAGTGATTCCTCGCACCCTTCTAGCTATTCTATACCCTGGTCTACCGCAGAAAGAAATGGCAACCTACTGCGGGGAAAAATCTGCCTCGTCAGTCTTGGATCGAAAGATACATGACCACTCATGGCACATAACTGACTGACTGACTGAGTGGTGCCTGGCAAAACGAGGCCTGATAAAATCAGGCATTATGAAAGAAAGGAACTAAATTCCAAATGGACTGCTTAATGCCAAATGCGACTGACTGTTTCGTGCTTTAATATGAAACAGACTGTCGCCATCCATTGTTGATATCTATGTCCACAATGCTTATACTTACATACGATCTGCGTCTGATGTTGAGCTTTTTTCTAGCATAAATATAGCATACATTAAGAACGATATTTTATCATCTATATACATACTTAGATACATACTCATATATATATATATATATATATATATATATATATATATATATATATATATATACAAACAAGTTTGATTAAAAGAACCGACTAGGACTGTCTATTTAATTTTTATTGGATTTTTACAATTTGTGAATAAGATGTTGGTTATTGCTCTCAAAACTTTGGACAATCTGTCCGAAGTCCATATTGTGCGCTATTGTTTTGCTCATTTTGAAAATGACTGTTACGGTCGAAAGTATTTACGTCAGTCATTTTCAAGATCCAATGTGGTGTATGCGTAGTACGTAGAATTCCTTTGTTGATATTCTGGTATTCTTTGAAAAGCTGGAAGTTTCAAATGACGTCACGGTGACGTCACATGTAACGCCTTTTGGGAGCGTGGCCGCACCAAAAGGAATGCGATTTAACAATAAAAACACAGCATTTAATTTTGACATCGGGCACACATGAACATTTGTACATTTTATAGTTACTCATCTATTTACATGTGCTATCCATTTTAGCTGCTGCTACTGTTAAAATTTGTCAAGTGATGTGGTTTTTGTTATTTGGTACAGTACTACGTTTGTGAAGCTGTAGCGCCAGTCCACGGAGTTCAAAGAAGGGTGATCTTGCCACGGGCTTCACGCGCTCAAAGAAACATTGATCATAGAAAGGCGATTGGGTTGGACAGCTGACAGTTTAGATATGAAAGTCTCGATGAGTGACATATATATAAAAAGATTCGGCTGTCGGTTGCTTAACGTTAATCAGTGGGGCATAAACTCTGTTCATGGGCGGGAATAGCGGGGCAGCATCATGACCGGGTGACTTCTACCGTATATACTCGTGTATAAGCAGAATTATGTATAGTGCGTCCCCTTAATTTGGGGGCATGAATTTTAAGCCCTTCAGAAAAAGGTTTACCTGTGTATAGTGCAACTGGTCACCAAAAATGCCTAATTTTTAACCTCTTTAAAACAAAAATAAAATAACACTATTTTTGCGTATAAAAGCAGGTCATAAACAGTCGCATTATAGTCCAGAATATAAGGTAAATAATTTGGACGTCCTCAATCGGGGACTATTTGAACAAATTGGATTACTCAACCTAAAGTTATTGTAAACTCTACCACAGCCGTAAGATTATGCAATGTTTTTCTTTTATCAAAACCTGTGACTATATCATACACATTTGGATGGGATGCATGTGCACGGTATACTTATATCAGACCGGGTGTCATGATGGGTATATTGGGCGTCATAGATATGTACCCCTGCGTAAATTTCTTCGCGTGCTGCTCGCTCGCTGATAGTGTAATCATAGATAATTTTCGGATATCTATGTGGAATGTTGGTTGGCTGATTATGTTTAACGTCAAGTCAACCTCTATCGGTTATTTAATGTCGTTTGAACGCAATTTTATGACTTCAACTAAATATATTTTGAATGTAATTGTATGCCTTCAACTAATGTATTGTCGGTAATTTTACTATAAATGGGTATTGTTGATTGATATTGCTTAGAGATATTGTTTAGAGGCATATCAAACGCTATCGCTTATTTAATGCTGAAACCTAAATATTTTGTACGTAATTTTATGCTTTCATCTACAGATATTTTGGACATAATTTTATATTTTCAGGGTAAAGCTATGTTTTTTTAGATATATAGTTTGTAGATCATAAATACATTGTTAGTAATTTTACTATAAAAATGTATTTTTTATATATTTTTTAATGTTATTTTTTTATTAAAATATATTGTTGGTTATTTTATTATAAAAATGTACTATTAATTGCTATTTTTACGTATGTATTTTTATACTTCTTTAGTGTTTTGTTTTTTTGGAGGGCGTTCAATATTTGCCCATAGCTGGGACCCTAACAGGTGCTACCACCCCGAATCAAGGTGGACCTGGGAACAACAGCAATTAAGAGGTGGTTCCACGCTCCTCAAAACCTCCAATCTCCCGATCAGAGGTCTTGCCCAGGACGATGTACCCGGAAACAAAAACAAACAAAAAAAACTTATTTTAATTTTGTTATCAGACTTTATTTGAGGTCCTTTCCAGCTCTTTGATGTTTTCGGCCGCGGTGGTGATGGTCATATCTTAGCTTCTACCCGTAACTTAGAGACTCTCCTGTTTCACGTCGTGTGGCCATTTGCGCACTCCCAATCTGGGTGTACGGGTGGTGTAATGGATAACGGCACCAACTTGGAAATGAGAGAGCCAAGTTCCAATTCCAGTCCAGTTCGTTTTTATTCACTTACGCGCAAATACCCTTGGAAAAGCAATAAAGCACTTCTCCCCCTCCCAGCAATGGGTTAAATTCTTACAATCTAAAAATAATTTCTGGCTTTAAATAACCTAAAAAGGGTTGATAAGCCATAAAAGGCAAATGAATCAAACAATCCTGAATTTATTTATAATTTGTAACACTAATTCAATTTCTATAAATACTTGATTCCGACGTCTCCAATTCGTAGCTCCAGACCTTAGACAGCGTTAAGTACAGAATGTTTTAATTACTGTTTTAAAATAAACAATATAATTATTTTTTCTGAGCATCTGCTGAGTAATTTAGTAACTTATTGCAAGTTACTGCTTATTATTTTTATTTTTTGTTTCATATAAAACTTTATGTCATAGTTTTGTATTTTCGGGTAATTTCCTCCTTAAATTTTTAGCATGTTATATTTTAAGACATATTTTTATATCTGCGATAATTTTCGAGACACATGACATATATTTAACTGCAGGCATTCCCTTAACTGATGTCACATTGGAAATCAGCGTATATCAACTGATGATTAAAATTCTCCAATGTTACAGACATAATTCATTCATTATTCGAATCTAAATGACTCATTGGCGATTCTAGGATTCACAAGGTTATAAGGATTCATGAACTTACGGCATTTTTTTTGAGTATTTGCTTTCAATAAAGTTGGAAGAACAAGCCAAAAGCAGTACTATGTATGCGTACTTCTCGAAGAGAAAAAAGGGAAAAATGGGACAACGTGATCTAAAAAAGCAGAACTCCATTGTGCATGGAATGCATTGGAAATCTAAGGGCCAAGTTCCAATTCCAAATAGGTTCGTTATATTCACTTACACACAAATACCCTTTGGAAAGGCATGAATCCATCACTTCTCCCCCAGCTATGGGTTAATTAGTAGGACTTGTATCCGTAAAATCATTATTATTTCCAACACCGCCAAAAAATTCTAAAAATATGTTCTAGCTATAAATAACCTGCGAAGGGTTGATAAGCCGTAAAATGCAAATCAATCAATCCTGAATTTTTATGATAATTTATAACACTTGATTCATAGTTAAATTTCTATACGTACTTGGGTTTACGACCACATCACGTTGAAACACCGGTTTCCGTACTATCAAGTTAAGTAACGGCGTGCCTGATCAGTAGCTAAATGGGTGACCACCTGGGAAAACCAGTTTAGATGTGTGACAGGTGTAATGGATAATGACACGGAATTTTTAATCGGAGAGCCGTTTTCCAATTCCATTTGGGTTCGTTATATTCATTTATGCCCAAATATCCTTGGGGAAGGTAGAAATATATCTCTTCTCCCCAGCTATGGGTAAATTAGTATGCTCGGACGAACTATCCCGCCAATTCAAATCTTCACGGCAAGGACACACAATATCCCTTACATAGTAGCAAATCACCCACATCCCTCCGTATTCTTCTCTAACAGCTTCTTTTCGTTAACTACTGCCCTGTGGAACCGACTCCTAACAGGATGTTTCTCCGATCACTACAATCTTAATCTCGGGTTAACCGTTATCTTCCACTCTTGTCCGCACAAAATGCCTCCTAAAGTAAACCTCTACCCCGAGTGGCACACTGTAAAAAAAATCACTAAAACTATTATTATCTAAAAAAATAAAGAAGAATTTAACAATAAAAAAATATTTTCTGGCTTTAAATAACCGAAAAGGTTTGATAAACCGTAAAAGCAAATCAATCTATACGTATTTGATTTTGTCGTCTTCAATTGGGGCATTAGACATCCCTGAATAGAGAATGTTTTAATTTAATTCCTTCTGTTATAAACTAAAGAATATAATTCTTTTTTTCTGATGTCTTTCAGCATTTACTTCGTAGCTTATTGGCTTCAAGGAATATCATGATGTTAAAAATATCAAATTTATGAACAACATTTGTTTATGTTCCCGATTTTTCTTTATTCTTATAATCTGAAATAATTATTAATAATCATTGTTTTTCTATATAACCAAAACGAAAATAAATATAAACACTTCTTGTTAAAAAAACGAATTTTCTCGTTCTTTACTCGTTCTTTACTCGTGCAGTTTGTTTCCCCATCCCCGCCGTTTGAGGGTTAAAATGAGAACGGATGGCAAGGCATTCTGTCTTATTATTTCGCATTGTTGATAGATTAGAACACACCCAGAAAATTGGATTGACTGGATTCGTGTTTATTAAATAAAACTGCGTAGCCAGAAAGTTAAGAAAAGCAAGTGGTTGGCGGGCTTCGTTAGAGAAGAGGTGTGGTCTTTGCAGACCTTGAGAATCGACTTTTGTCTTTCATGTAGAAAATCTGCTCATGCGCACTCGCTTGGAATAGAAATCGATACGCAGGACATAGCGATTCGCTGTTAGATCAGCCATTGCAGTGATCGATATCTTGCTATTCCTCCTAGTCTCTGCACCTTTCCCCCTCCAACAACCCTTCATTCTTTAAAATCTGGTCACTGCATTGCAGTAGGTCATTGTTCTATGGAAACCGTGAAAATGGTAATGCGTAGAAGAGCCTTAATGGTCAGAGTAATGGGCAAGGTGTTGCTGTTTCTGTTGATAAAGATAATCGCATCCAATTCACACCCGATACTTGTAAGTAGCCAAGTACCTGAATTAGGAAAAACGTTTATCAGTGATCCGGTCGCTGATACTTATTCTCGGTGTAACACAGCCCATCGTATATTCGGAGTTATTCTAGGCTATGCTGTTTTATACTCGAAGTATAAGTTAAGCAAGACCCGTTTAAATGTCCGGGTATAAAATAGGCTCGTCTAGAATATTCCCATGGCGTGTGGTCGGCAACCAGTCTAAAAGAAAGGCAGCTCAGAATTCAGAACCCGAGGAGAACCGTTTGCTGACTTCCTGGCACAATGTTCACCGTTTCTCTGCTATCAGTTCTTTCGAAAAATGTGATTGGTTCTGCGCCTTCACCAACTTACTCATATCATATTGTGTTTTTTTTGTTTTAATTTTGTTTTTTATGGCTTATCAACACTTTGTGGTTATTTAAAGCCGAAATATATTTTGAATTGTGAGAAGAACTCTTTTTTGTGAGTGAATTCATCTGTTTCTATGGCTTATCAGCCCATTGCAGGATCAATTCTAAGAACTGAATTGTTACACTCTCATACATCAAAATTGATCAGAGTTTCCTGTCATTGTAGCCACAGTCGAGGATACAATGAACTATGAAGTGTCATACGTCCGCAGAGATATCTAGTGCGAATTCTACAGCCCTCAATTGTATCTTGAATCATTGGTCTGCACATTACTCGGCTTAAATTCCTTATTAGAGACATGGTTACCTGATTAGTGCTGAAGGACTACATATCAGCCATTATCACAATGGAAGAACATTGCCAACTTGAGCCATCATATAAGATTCTATTTAAGAAAAAGTGTTGTTGATACTAATTGTAAGTCTGTATAGACTGACTTAGAGTGGGTATAATTTAGATTATTGTATCCGGAAGTAGGAAGTAGGCTAGCCACAGTTACATACACAGGATTATTCTGGAGCCGGGTATAAATTTGTCTAGATCAAAATAAAAAGAACTGATTTTTAAGCCAATACTCCCTCTTCTCATGTGTCATTTTCGTTGTTTAACAATTCAAGATGACTGACGATGGAACTGGGGTTTTCTAGAGAAGAAGGTTGCGGTGTTTTCTTGGTTGCTAGATATATGTTCGCAAAAAATTATAACAGCTAAATATTGATTGATTCGTTTTTTACGGCTTATCAACTCTTTGCAGGTTATTTAAAGCCATAAAATATTTTTAGAAATGAAAAAGTGGAAGAAGTATTAATTGATTGATTCGGTTTCTATGGCTTATCAGCCCATTGCAAGTTATTTAAAGCCGAAAATATTTTTAGATTGTAATAATTTTTTTAGATAATAATGGTTTAGTGCTGCAAGTCTTACTAGTTAACCCATAGCTGGAGGGAGAAGAAGTAGATTTACACCTTTCCCAATGGTATTGGCACGTAAGTGAATATAACAAAACCAACGGGAATTGGAACTGGGCTTTCTGATTGACAACTCAGAGCCATTATCCACCCGCATATCCAAACTTAGATAGCCTGGTATTTCCAAGCGGTCACCCATCTAGGTTGTGACCAAGCTCGATGTGGCTTAACTTTGGCAGTAGTATGGGACCGGTGTTTCAATTCCAGTTGGATTGCTTATATTCATTTATGCGTAAATACCCTTGGAAAAGGCATAAAACCAACTTTTCTCCCCCCAAACTATGGGTTAATTAGTAAGACTTGTATCACTGAATCCATTATTATCTGAAAAAATATTTTCTGGTATGAAATAACCTGCAGTAGATTGATGAGCTGTAAAAAACGAATCAATCAATCTTTGCTTCCTGATAGCCACAATCAAAATTTTCAATGCAACGTGAATCGCCATCTTTTGTTTTCTGGAATCACGTACATATTTTTTCTTTACTAAATCTTCTCTATTTTCAGTTTTCTCTTTCACTGCCTGCAACACTTTGCGTACTAGTGGCATTCTCGCCTTGCTTGGGGTGAAATGATTACAAAAAAATAAAATAAAATATAAATGAAGCGTAAACCAGCTACTTAAATGGAGAGGTATTGACAGATTTAGATATCCTTCTTTTAAATATCCTTTCTACTTCTATCTATCCTCCATCCACCCTTTCTTCTATCAATTCTTCCTCAATCTATAATTCCTTCTTAAATCTGCCTTTCTATCTAAATTTCCTTTTATTTATTTATGTTTCTGCTATCCATCCTTTCTGCTATCTATCCTTCATTCTTCTATGATTCATTCCTCTATTCTTCCACTATATTTTTGTATCCTTCCTTCTCTGATTGTAATCATTTGATCTATCCTCCCTCTATCTATCCTTTCTTCTTTCTATACTTCTATACATTTTTCTATTATCCTTCTTTATTCCTTTCTATACCGAGCTTTCATTTCTGCTACTCTTCCGCTATCCTTTCTTTTTTATACATCCTTCCTCTGTCTATCCTTCATTTTTCTATCAATCTGTTCTTGTTCTCTCAATTTTTTATCTTCGTTATTTTTATTTTCTTTCTGGTTCATATTTTCTTTTTCATCTTTTTTTCCTCATTCTCTTCTTCATCACTTTTCATCTTTGTTCTTTCACATTCTGCTGTTTTACAATTTTTCTTCAGCTTTTCTCTTGATTCTTTTTCATTTTCATTATCTTCGCTATGCTCTTTCTCCATTATTTTCATTCTACGTCCTTTTTCATCATAATTCTCTTCTTCATAATTTTTTCGTCTTGTCCTTTTTCCTTTTCATTCTTTTTAACTTCATCCTTTTTTCTTCTTCGTTCTCTTTTTTTATTCTTTTCTTTCTTTATCGCTTTTTTCTTCAAATGTTATTCTTTCTGCTTAACGTTCTTTATTTATTTCTTACTTCAGATGTTCTTCTTCTGGTTGACCTTCTTCATTCACTTCTTTCTTCAGGTGTTCTTCTTTCTGCTTAACATTCTTTATTAACTTCTTACTTCAGATGTTCTTCTTTACGCTTAACCTTCTTTATTCACTTCTTTCTTCAGATATTCTTCTTTCGGATTAGCGTTCTTTATTCACTTCTGTCTTTCGATGTTCTTCTGGCTCAGCCATCTTTATTAACTTCTTACTTCAGATGTTGTTCTTTCTGCTTAGCCTTCTTTATTCACTTCTTTCTTCAGATGATCTTCTTTTCGCTTATCCTTCATTATTCACATCTTTGTTTCGATGTCCCTCTTTCTGCTTAACCTTCTTTCTTAACTTCTTTTTTCAGATGTTCTACTTCCGGCTTAATCTTATTTATTCACTTATTTTTTCATATGTTCTTCTTTCTGCTTATCCTTCTTTATTCACTTCTTTCTCTAGATGTCCTTCTTCCGGCTTAACCTTCTTTATTCACTTCTTCCGATGTTCTTTCTGCTTCGCCTTCTTTATTCACTTCTTTCTTCAGATGTTTTTCTTTTTGCTTAACCTTCTTTATTCACTTCTTTCTCTAGAGGTTCTTCTTCCGGCTTAGTCTTTTTTATTCACTTCTTACTTCAGATGTTCTCTTTTCTGCTTAGCCTTCGTGATTTCTTTATTTCTTCAGATGTTCTTCTCTCTGCTCATCCTTCTTTGTTCATTTCATTCTTTCGTTATTCTTCTTTCTGCTTAGCCTTCTTTATTCACTTCTTTCTTCAGATGTTCTTTCTGCTTAGCCTTCTTTATTCACTTCTTTCTTCAGATGTTCTTTCTGCTTAGCCTTCTTTATTCACTTCTTTCTTCAGATGTTCTTTCTGCTTAGCCTTCTTTATTCACTTCTTTCTTCAGATGTTCTTTCTGCTTAGCCTTCTTTATTCACTTCTTCAGATGTTCTTTCTGCTTAGCCTTCTTTATTCACTTCTTTCTTCAGATGTTCTTTCTGCTTAGCCTTCTTTATTCACTTCTTTCTTCAGATGTTCTTTCTGCTTAGCCTTCTTTATTCACTTCTTTCTTCAGATGTTCTTTCTGCTTAGCCTTCTTTTATTCACTTCTTCAGATGTTCTTTCTGCTTAGCCTTCTTTATTCACTTCTTTCTTCAGATGTTCTTTCTGCTTAGCCTTCTTTATTCACTTCTTTCTTCAGATGTTCTTCTTTCCGCTTATCTTTCATTATTCACTTCATTGTTTCGATGTCCTTTTTTCTGCTTAACCTTCGTTATTAACTTCTTTTTTCAGATGTTCTACTTCCGGCTTAATCTTCTTTATTCACTTCTTTCTTCATATGTACTTATTTCTGCTTAGCCTTCTTTATTCACTTCTTTCTTCAGATGTTCTTCTTTCTGCTTAGACTTCTTTATTCACTTCTTTGTTTCGATGTCCTTCTTTCTTCTTAACCTTCTTTATTAACTTCTTTTTTCAGATATTCTTCTCTCGGCTTGACATTCTTTATTCACTTCTCTCTTCCTTCTTCAAATGTTCCTTTCTTCCTTCTTCAAATTATCTTCTTTATTTCTTCTTAGTTCTTCTTCGTTTATTCACTTCTTTGTTCAGATGTTCTTCTCCCGGTTTAGTCTTCTTAATTCACTTCTTACTTCAAATGTTCTTCTTTCGGCTTAACCTTCTTTATTCACTTCTTCAGATGTTCTTTCTTCTCAGCGTTCTATATTAACTTCTTTCTTCAGATGTTCTTCTTTATGCTTAGCCTTCTTTATTCTCTTATTTCTGCCGATGTACTTCTTGCTTAGCCTTCTTTATTCACTTCTTTCTTTCGATGTTCTTCTTTCTGCCAAGACTTCTTATTCACTTCTTTCTTTCGATGTTCTTTTTCTACTTAACCTTCTTTTTTCATTTCTTTCTTCTGAGACTTTTCTCTATTTCAGGTCACTCTCGACGTCCTTTTAATTCGTCTTTTTTTCTTTCGTAGTTTTTAATTATCGATACTTTTCTTTTTCTTCCTAAAGATATCCAGCCTCTTTCCCTCTTAGCATTTTCTCCCGCCCAGCCGACCGCCACTCCGACAACCTAATCGTGTCCTCTTCGACATCTTCCTTCACCCTCGTTCGACATGACCCTCCCTCATCACTGCTCAGGAAATCAATTTCAGAATAACATTTTATTGATTTCAAATATTTTAATTGCTTCGAGCTCCTCCATTGGAAGCAGGTCTGAAAGTAAAAGGAAGAAGAAAAGAATTTGAAAATTTGACTTGCTGTTTTCTTGATTCTGATTTCATCGTTTTCAAGACATTTTTACATTTTTTCTTCTTTCTTTTGCCAGTTGTGTTTCTTTCAGCAAGAAACGCCAAGGATTTCAAATCCTCTGCGTTTGATAGGACAGGAGATAACGTCGGGAACATCGCATTTTAGCGAAGAAAAACAACCACAAACAAACGGAAAACATTTATTTATTTATTATCTTTAATGATGTGTACAAAAGTAAAAATATGCCTTAGTGCGCAAACACGCATACATGTATCTGTCCACGTGTACAGGTGAAAACACACACTCACGTGTGTGTGTGTGTGCGTGTGCGTGTGAAATTGCTAGTCACATGCAGTATTGATTTCTATGTCCACATTGTTTGTGTCTAGAAACGCACTATCCTCTATATTGAGTTCTCTCCTTTCATGAATATGGCAGATTTTAAATAAATTTAAGCAAATTAAATATATATAAAATCTTTTAATCATATATATATATATGATTAATGGATTCTGTTTTTTTAATCCGACATATTTTTATAGTTTCAAACGTTATTTTTTAAAACTCATATTTAGTGGATAGTCATATTTAATGGGACGCTCCTTTTTTATTTTAAACTATTGATTTCATCCACCAGCCTGAAAACTCGAGAAAACTTATTAAAGAAAATGCACTTTCCAGCAAGATTCGAACCTGCGTGCCACTCTGCAGGAGAAACTACAGTCTAGTCCGGCATGATTTAACCGCTCGGCCACGAAGAGCTTTACAAGCAAGTAAGCATAATTTAATTTACCATTCGTTCTTCAGATGTTCGTCACACTAACTCTTTCAAATTTTCTCGAAATGGCACATCTGTTCAGTTTGTTATCCGAAACCTGAACAAAGTAATTACTAAAGAATTAATGGATTTTTATTTTTTTTATCCAGCATGTTTTTATTACTTCAAACTTTTTTAATGGTTACTCTTATTTGAGTAGAAGTTCCACAGATGAGAAGTGCAAGACAAGAAATTGTTAGAATAGAACTTACATCGAGTAATTTCATCAGTAAAATGATGAGACCTAACTGCCAATCTATCACCAAAGAAAAAAGCTCATCAGAACAGTCGCCATGAAAGTAAATGTAGAGATGCTACGTTACGGCAGGGAGTGGGGAAGCCTAGATGCCACGTCAGAACCGTTAACATTGCAGATTCATATTTAGATTTTATTATAAATCTCTATATGCATAACAAAAGCACCAGACGAGATGCGACAACAATATTCAATGCAATATTCAAATGGTAGACTTAAAAATCCTGGTGAGAAAGATTTTTCTCGCACGAAACGGTAGGCCAAAAATAAAGATTGTTTAAAAGATTCCCCTAAGAAAACCTAAAGAACCTTAATCAGCTGGGAACAATCTGTGAGCGAGAAAGGCCATTGGTTCGACATCCTTGTCAGTGGTGCAAAGGATTTCTAGAGGAGACAAATTGATCATCTGGATATTAAATGTGTTGCAAGTAAAAAAGGCATTGTTGGAACTGTATATTTTTAATCATTTCATCCCAGGTAAGGCGATAAAGCCGCTAAAATGCAACCGGATTACTGGGTATGGAAGAATTTGAGAAAAAGAAACATTAAAAGAACAAGAATTAACAAGGCATTGGCATTGCATTTACATTTTTAAAGGTCAAAATTTACTGGTAAGCAAGAAGTCGGAGGAAGAGAGTTCCACAAGTGTACGCGTTAGAGAACGAACTGTTGGCATAGAACTTGCGGTTAAATCTAGCCATTTCAAATATAAAATGATGAGACCTTACCGCCAATCTAGCTCTTAAGTTCCATGCAGATTCAATCAATCCAATCAGGGATAGAGTTTATCTGTCATATATGCATCATACCTATAAAATCGAAAGTTGGTCTCAAGAGTCACCTTAGGAGCCATGAACGCCGAAACGAGACGGAAGCCATTACAAGTGATGTGAAGGGTGAGGAGGTGGCTCTCATCTGAGTAAGATGTGGTAATCACCACGTATGTATGTGTCTATGTATGCATGTATGTATGTATACATGAAGGTATGTATGCATCTATGAATTAGGGTCAAATATGGATCAAACATGGATCCGAATCCGACAGAATGATAAGATAAAGAACGATAAGAAATGTTTATCAATCTAACATATTTCACTTTTATTAATTTATTTTTATTATTTCACTTCGTCAGAGGATATGGAGAAAAGGACATTTTGGTATTTTTACTTTTGTGTTGTTTGATTTTCATTGGTTAATCATGTTTCCCGTGCATTCGACTTGTTAAACAAACGTTAGTATAATTTGTGACGTTCCGAATTCAAGGAGAGACGATACGTCCTTTCGAAGTTTAAAAAAATTAACGGATTCCAAACTTAACTAAAAAACCACAAATATTGCTTTATGTATGTAAGTGTATAATAATTATAGTTTGTCTATGTCAGATTCAGAGCATGATCTATATTGGTAAGTGTGTAGGTGTGTGTGTGCTTGTATGTGTGTGTGTTTGTGTGTGTCTAGTAAACATTATGTTTGGTAGTTTTTCGCATGTTGATTTGTTGCATTTTACTTGTATGTATGTATTTATGCATGCATGTATGTATGCATGCACGTATGTACATATATATACAATTATATATATATATATATATATATATATATATATATATATATATATATATATATATATATATATATGTATATGGATTTATTTTTAGGTCAACGAAAGTTCCTTTCTTTTCTTTTCTTTTCTTTTTCTAAGGTTCCAACCATTTTCAAATTTCTAGTATGAATTTAAACATAAACTGTCGAAAGTCTTCTTCATAAGCCATCATTACAGTGTTTTATTTTTGTTTGTCCGCATTGTGTTGTCTTTGGTAGATTTCGAATGCCGTATGTTCACGCCTCAGTTTTTGGTGCCATGTTTTATTTTGTCTTTGTGAAATAAACTTAAAACTTTTGTTACGAAATTGAATACAATTTTATTTATTTTATTGTCTAATCCTTCTACTAGAAAGTATTTATAATCCTTTTTTTTTTTGTTTGCAGTCTCTATGAAAGAGTATTTTTGTGTTATTGGTAAACATTTGTCCTATTTCTTGTGTGTTGTTGTTCTATTGCCTGATGATATATGATTTAATTGAATTGTTATCGGATAAATGGCAAGTTAACCGGCGCAATAATATAGTGAACATATAATCAATATATATGTTGTTTAAATTATTGTTCTTCTTTTTGTGTCGTGTCCCCTCAGGATACTGGCGATCATGGCACGCAAAAATGTCCTGTCCTTGTAGCTCTTAATAAATTTTGCCTTTTTATTTCTCCCAAACCCTGTTCCGCCATCAAGAAGGTTATGCGTTATTTTCCTCTGTCCCCCTTGTCTTCAAACTGCTCTGTAAATATCAGATTCTCCAAGCCCTCTTTTCTCATTATGTGTCCTGACGGTAAGTATAAATTTATTTTATTTCCATTTTCTCTAGAACTTCGTCGTTGCTCAAATATTCTGTCCATAGTATCCTCAGCATCCTTCTGTAGAAACATATTTCTGTTTCTTCAAGTCTCTTCTTCATCTTTGTCGAAAACATAATATTGTACAAATAGTCAATTTAGTGAAGCGCTTCAATTAGTTATAATTTTTTAATTTTACTTGTTTATTGTAGAAATAGTCACTTTAGTGAGGGGCTCCAATTAGTTATAGTTTATGTATTTTACTTATTTATTTATTTTTTATAAATATTTAAAAAAAAAATTATAATTATTGTTTATGGTTATAATTTCATTTACTGTTGATTAATAAATAAAAATATATTAAAAATATACAATTTGGAACATTTCTTGATAAGAACAAAATTCTCATGTTTATTTGGTCAAAATTTGTGAATTAGGTCAGGCTGAAATATTTCAATGGCTTATCGTGAAGGCTCTGTCAACAAATCGAATTTGTAATGTTAATCTGCTGTATTACCATCAAAATATTTTCTCTTTTTGCCGGTTTACGAAGACATAAAAACACACGCCTAGGCACACGCATGCATGCTGTTTTCAAAAAGAGCTTTGTAAAAGCATGGGATTAAAGGCCCTAAATGGCTGCCCATTGCAACTCCATCAACGATGGGGTTTTTTACGGCTCATCAACCTTTTCAAGACAGAAATATTTTTAAACTGCAAGATTTTCTTGGAAGTAATAATGAATCTACTGATACAAATTCTACTAATAAATCCATAGCTGAACGGAGACGAGGTACATTCATACCTTATCCAAGGATATTTTGAGTGTAAGTAAATGTAACGAACCCAACTGGAATTGGAACTTCGGCGACCATACGAGAAACGGTGTTTCAACATAGTATGGCCGTAAGCCCATTATACCACCCGTACATATAAGCTTAGATCACTTGATATTCCTAAGCGGTCACCTAGCTAGGTACTGACCAAGCTCGACGTTGCTTAACTTCGGCGACCATACAAGAAATGGTCTTTCAACATAGTACATAGCTCTCAGGGAAACTGGAATAGGGAAGGGAGTTCCACAGGCGAGAGGTGCGAGACATGAAGCTATTTGAGTAGAAGAGACGGCTACATTTAGGAGTTTCGACAGTGAAAGGTTGAGAGCGGGATGCCAGCCTCGTATGGCGCTTGAACTCGACAGTTGCCTTGATCTATCCACTACCCTTCTCCTCAACCTTTCCTCTATTACTCCTATCTGATCTTGCTCCAAATTTTCTGTAACCCCTTGCGTCCTAGTGGCTTCTCGCCTTGCTTGGGGTGAAACGCTTAAAAAAAAAGTATGGACGTAAGCCCATTATACCACTCGTACGTATAAACCTCACTGTTCGACATTGCTTAATTTCGGCGACTATATGAGAAACGGTGTTTCAACGTGATATGGTCATA